AGTCGTTATCATCGTCCAAATTCAAAATTCAACCGTTTCTTTTTCATTTGTTCTTTATTCAAAAAATATCTTGCCTTTGATTGGCTCAAATTGAAGTTCACCGTTGTGAATTTGAAGAAGGGAGTTTTAACGAAAAATTCACGATACTGTTTACTTTAACGAAAAATCACATTTTTACACTAAAAAATCAATCATGATACTATTCACTTTACCTTTTATTTTGTCCTTATCTTTAAAATTCAAAGTTTTCAAACTTTTTTTATTAATTTTCGTTTTAAAAAAATCGCTTGTCACTTAGTTGTAGATAGATGTGTCAAGTCTATTTAAATAAGGGATGGTGTGGTCCAAGTTCATTTAATAAGACATTACATGACACGATTCATAAAAAGTAAGGTGGGGCAGGTCTAAGACTTTAGGCCTAATGGCCAACTGGTCGTGCTGCGGCCAGTTGGACTTGTCATGGGACTAGCACGGCCCATGGTCCTAACCTATTACGTATAATCTAGCTTATTTTTTAATTTTTAATTACATACATGCATTATAAGGTTAGTAAGACTATCTGACAAAAGAAAGTTAGTGAGACTTGATATTAAGCTTAATAACATATTCAAATAAGTTTTTTTTTTTTTTAACTTTAAAATAACTAAAATTTGTTAACGAAGTCAACCCGTTTAGTGACCACGCAGGGCCAGCCCGGCACGACCCATATCTTATGGGCTAGGGTCATGGGCTGGATTAGGCTTAGTATTTTATTAAGTGGGTCGGCCAAAACACCATTCATTTATTATGTGTGACAGCCCAAGCATGGTCAAAATGTACGTGGACCAACTTTAAATGGTCGGGTCGTCCGGTTTGACACCTCTATTTAGGGGTGGACTTTTTTTGTCAACCGTACCACACCGATTTTGTGTCAATCAATAATTGCATGATATTGTACTGAACCGAAATGCAATGCCTCCTTCAAATGCTTCTACAGCTCAAGCTTAAAGAATTGATTAATGAATTTTTATTTTTTGAAGTATAGATCCACTTCCAATTTTCATTTGGTTTGAAATTTTAACTTCTATTGGATTGTAAACTTAACTTCTACTTGATTTGGTTTGTAACTTCTATTTAAATTGTAACCTTAATTTCCATCATGAATCTTGATGCATTATTTGACTTATTATGTGTCTGAGTTGTAAATGATGAATGGTAGATGAATTGAGGCTACAATATATGAGGTAAAGGTACAAAAAAGGTCTTGCCCTTGAATTGGGTTGGTGAAAGAAAAAAAATCATATTTTGGCCCAAAAAAGTTGCCCAAAACAAAGTGACAATTACCATTACCATCCCTACCAAACTGTTTGGCATATCGAAACTTTATATATCGAAAGTTTGGCATGGTGGTAATTTTACCAAACTAAAAATTTGGTAAGGCAATTGGTACGGGGGTTTTGGCACAGTAACTGTACATAACCCACCCCTACCTCTATTTGTAGGGAGATTGTCTAGTGGTGCGAGAAGGGGTAGAGTAGGACTTTTAGTTTCGGGGTGCAAAATACTTGATCGAATATAAATATTTTTCTTTATGAGTGAAAAATTTTAAGTTTGATCATTATACATAATAAATTCAATAAAAATGGTGGTTTAGTCTAATCTTAGTGTGAATTGTCATTGCAAAATCACCAGCTGGTCCATCTTTTGTTTGTTTTTTTTTCAAGAAAAAGTCTAATCTCAATGTCACTATTGTTGTATTAAAAAAGATTGGTGTATTTTTGCCCCAATTTGTTTTTTTTTTTTTTTTAAAGAAAGACAACTGGTGGCAAGTCACGATTATATATCCACCCCTTCTCGGGGCTGGGAAGACTCACAGAGGCATTTCAGCTTTTCCCTGGCCACAAGTATGGCTTCCACACCAGCAGCGGATTTCGAACCCAAGACCTTCAGTTTTTAGTTTGAAGAAAGTCTCGCAATCTGTCATTTACCATCGAATCACTAGCTCGTGGTTTTTGCCCCAATTTGTTGAGGACACTCTTCTAACTGTGCAATATAAAAAGACTTGTTTCTCTGATAAGAAATAACTATTAATTCCACCATGAGTCTAATATACAGTAGCAACAACTTTTAAACTGTGTAATGGTTCAGTAGTTAGTAACTGAAAATTCTCAAATATTGTCTTTGGCTTTTGTTGGATATTTGAAATGCTACAAGAGTAAGGTACTCGATAGCAATAAAACGAGGTTCGTTGAGTTAGTAATTAAGGATCGTTCTTTTTGAAATTACTCATCGTATCATCATTGTTTCTACCTACTATCAGCACCGTCCGTCACTGCCACCCACCATCATCACCACCACTACTACACCACTTATCATCATCACCATCATTACTGTCGCTGTAACATCTGAGTGGTGATGCCACCACCTCCACTCACCATCATCACTGTTTCCCATAAACTCTAATTCCTCATGAGGAGTTTGAATTCTTATTTGGTGTAGGTTCATTCCACCTTGTTTTGATTCCTCTATCATTCATCAATACAAGAAATCGATCTAACTCCTCATTTGGATTCCGATTACAAATCATGAAATAATAAATAAACCGTCAATGTAAATTACACTCTTGGCCACAAACGATTCAAGTATGGACAGAACCAATTAAATCTAATTAAGTCGAGCCCCATTGTCTGTGAACTTAATAAGTCACATCCTACAATTACAAAGGCCGAAAAGGTCACAAGAAAAAACATAGAAGTCATCGCTTTTATGCGAAATCGCACTACGTGCATAGTGATAGTGTGGAATCAAGGACCACGTACACCAATCTTAAAAGTTATGGCGCACAGCTTTCTGTTTGTATACACGGTATCAACTTCATATATTAAAAACTAATGAAGACACGCTAGTCGAGTTAGGGATCGAACCAACTTTGGAAACTGGAGCAGACGACTTTTTGTTCTATGCATTCCCATATCTATGAGAAATTCTGGTGTCCGTCATTCGGACCACGTGCCCGTGCGGCCGCATGCAAACACAATAAAACCCACATACTCCATCCCTCTAACTCACCACCACCACATACTCCATCCCTCTGACGTTGAGACCACACCCGTGACGCACAAACCCCACCCGGAATGGAAGATTTTCTCCATATCTATTGATAGTAGGAACCACCCTAACCCTAGCTAAAAACTAGCGTGTGCAAACCTGACCTATGACTGGGTGAGGAGTTGAAAGGTGGAGTGGTCCGGGTGGAAAGTGGAATCCATTTTGCCTTATAACTTCTTTCCTTTTCTGAATATGAAGTTATAGTGCACTAATATTGTGTCCTTACAAATTTATATCACAGATAAATATGTTATACTCCCATAATTTTACAACTAAATTTCAAATTTTAATTATTGTTTGTTTTTTAAATTTGAATGTTAATCGAGTTGTGTTCGTGTTACTTATTTCAAGTTTATATAAAAGTAATTGATGAACAAGAAGGTATGTATTTTACTTGCTCAACCATAAGAACATAATAAAGCAATAACAAACCCAAACTGTTTCTATCCTCCATAGTTGGGGAAAGACATACATACACCCACGTTCTCTTCAAACATACGTATCAAATTATGATGTCTGTGGCGGTCCAAACATCGTTCCTCTTTCTCCCTCACTCGGTTCACTCGGTACATCTGAAGTGGTCTGCTTGTTGCTTCATACCACGATATGTGTGATCTGCTACATCACACGACCCGTCATCAGCATTACAGTCGACTAAATGGTCTCTTTGGCCAGATGAAACACCATATCCATGGTGGGATTGTAAATATTCAGTTGCAGGCTTTGTGTTGATCCTTCTCTCACTCTCTTCTGCTGTCTCTGGTTTCTTTGCTCGTTCTGTGCCTTGGTTTTGCGGATGGTTTGCTTCTTTGGTGGTTGCCCTTTTTTTTGAGAAGAAAACTAATGAAAAAAGTTTAAAATTTTTGAATTTTAATTATAAATATAAAATTAAAGGTAAAGTCAGGATTAATTTTTTAGCGTAAAAATATAATTTTTTATTAAAATAAATAGTATAGGAAGTTTTTTAATTTTTTAGTGTAAAAATATAATTTTTTATTAAAATAAATAGTATATGAAGCTTTTTGTTAAAGTTTCTTTTTTTGAAATGTATTAGGATTTTAGGGTTTTCTTTCTTTTGGGTTTGATAGGAATAATATTTTGGTACATGCCAACTGCCAAGGGCCTGAGTTTTTGTCGCCAAGTGTCACGAGCCATGCATGGATGTGATGATGTGTCAACAAGCATGAGTTTTGGGCCACGTGTCAATCTTGTGTGAGAAAGAACTGTCTAGTTGGGGTTGGGCAAGAAGTTGGACTTGGGCTTCTCTAAATTTCTCAGCCCTCCAATGCGTTAGATAGACCACCTCCAATGTATTGGCCATAATGGGTTTGGATGACGGAGGACCTCGAGTGCGGAAGCGAATGATCCTTGTGTGCGAAACGAGTGACTTTTAGTGCTGAATAAATGCTTTTAATTATTTAAGTTACATTTTTTTCTATTGACGTAATTATAATTTGATCTATATATCTGGTTTTTCCATTAAAAATTAAACAAAAAAACAAAAAGAGAAAACAAATTACTTTAGTCTAAAGTAGGAGGGGAAATCGCACTATTCATATGAACAGTGTTTTGGACCACATTTCAATTTATTTACAAAATTACCATTCAGATGCTTTTAGCTTTTTACGAAGATGCCATCATCAATTCGAATGACAGGAATGCCCGTCTAGGGTTAACATCACACGGTTGGGGGTAAAAGTTGGGTGGGCATTGTTGTCAATTAGGGTTGCATTCGGTGGGATTGATGGCTCGGTGTGGGATTTGGTGGGAAGGCGACATGCTGCTTGCAGAAAGGAGGAGAGAGAGGGACGGAGGGAGGGGAATAGAGAGAGGGGTTTGATGAGGGGAATGCATGCGACTTGCAGAGAGGAGGGAGGGAGAGAGGAGGAGAGAGAGGGAAGGAGGGATGGGGATGGAGAGATAGGAGTTTGGTGAGGGGAAGGCATGCAACTTGCAGAGAGGAGGGAGGGAGGAGGGAGAGAGAGAAGGGTTTGGTGAGGGGAATGTATGTGACTTGCAGAGGAAGGGAGGAAGGGAGGGAGCGAAGCTTAAAAGCAACTGCAGAAAGTTCAATGGACAAGGTCGCAGCAATGGAGACACCTCGCTCTGAACCATTTCCCCTTTCCTCAAGCGAATGCTGAAAAAAGTTTTGAAGGAACAAAAAGAGGAAGAGCTACACATAATAGAATCCGATTCGCAAGGAAAAGAAGAAAGCCAGCTTTTCAACGAAAAAGCTAAAATCAATCTCTTCAACCTCCTCATCGGTGGCCGCACCCACGACAATCAGGTTCACTTTTAATTTAATTTTAATTTTTTGCTTTTTCAGTGGATTAAAGAATATGAAACTAATTATAATTTAAAATGGTGAAATTTTGTTGATTTTTGCGTTCAGTGTTCTGAGTGATCATCGAGCTGTGATGGGTTAGTGTTGGATTTGATTCAATTGAGGTAAAAGCTCTGCATGATTGTGATACAGAGAAAATGCTAGAATCTTACCTTCGATCCAAATATCTGATTTTTGTTACAATTGCTATGTTCATTGCAGGAAAATGTGGTGGAGACAATAATTCCCAAATCCTCGAGTTTTATGAATGCATTCCAATTGATAGCCATGTCAAATGATCTCGATTTGTCAGGTATGTTCGAGGAACAGGCAAGTTTACAAGAAATAGATTTACAAAAATAACTAATCCTACTTTTTTAGCTTATAACGAATAATGTTGAACTGTTAACTTAATTTAGGATGAGAAATAGAAGACAACAAGAATTGGACCCAAGCATACCGTTACTGAAACCATGAAGAAAATAGAAGCGGCTACAACGGATGCGAGTATTCTGTAGCAAGAACAAACAACTTCAGGGTACACGAAACTTATATTCAATCTTGCTTCTTTATTAGCTTATCAAAGTTCCTTCCTGCCAACTAATGATGTATTATTTTTTCATCAGATGTAAATGCATGCAAAAATTCCAATGAAAACGTAAATCACCATATCCAGGTAAATCCGAATTGTAGATCAGACTTATATTACAATTTGCTTTCTTTGTGAAATTTTATTGTAATTTACACTAAAGTCTCTGGCTTTTGAAATTCTATATGAAATTGTGAATGTTATTCGGAATCAAGTCCGGCCAAGTTCTTTACTAAATAGTGCGAAAATATGCATGATGAAACTAAATTACTTTTGTATCATCTATATTTACCTGTTAGCATAACAGGATTATAGAAACATACTGCTTATAGGATATTAAGGTTGAAGTCATTTAGTTCCAAAGATGCCATAACTAATGTATAATTGAGTGAAATGCCAGTTTGCATAAATAAGCTTTTTCTCAGTATTGCAACACAAGTTTTCTTATAATTGAGAGACGAGTGCATGGTGCATGTGTCTTAATTTATTCAGGTTAAATATGTCTTATTTATGTAGTTAAGGCGGGTGCATTCAAGTCTCGCAGCAACGCGCGGGCATATTTTCTCGTTGTTACTATATGGATGAATTCCAAACCATTTATGCTTGGAAAATATTTATTGGGTGATTGAACTTTGGTTGAATTCCAAATTTGGAGTTGGGCATGGATAGAAGATATGGACTTTGCCACTTTGAGTCCAAATTTCTTTCTCACACCAACAAAAAAGCAGGAGGGAAAGGTCCAATTTCTCTATTTCAAGACCCTCTCAAATCCAACATTTAGGGATAAAAAGTAGATGATAAAAAAAAAAAAAAAAAATTGGGGATGAAAAGTAGTTTTTCAAAGAGAATGGAGATTTGGTGGAATGAGGTTTTTTTTTTGGGTGAAGGGTTTGCTTTTTGCATTTGCTAGAAGCTTTCTTTCTTATATTTGTCTTTGATATTTTGGGAAAAATATAATATTGGGGGTTCTTGTAGACTTTCGGTTTGTCCAAATTAACTAGCGCAATGTGTTCATTCATCTACACTAAAGTTCAAATCTCTATTTTCCTAGTTTAACAAACGCAGTGTACTCTGCCTTATGCAATGAAGTTCTAATCTTCATCTTGTAGTGCACATTTATGGCTGCACTATGAAGATTACCATTTCGTCTTTTACTTAGACCTACTTTATGGTATTGTGAAGAGATGTTGATAATATACTAGCATACACGAAAATGGACTCAGCTTTCCCGGTAAGGAGATCATGCAAAAGTGTGGAGGCGTCGGCCAAAGACAGACTTCTAGGTGAGGAGATCATGCCTTTTATTTGAGATAACATGGAGCTTAGCTTCAAGCTTGTTCTGCATTGTCACTTTAATTAGGTTTCAAGAGTACCAAACTAAATGTGGAGCATGGACTAAGCCGATGGCTTGACGTTGTTCATGTCCCATGAGTTAGATAGGCCACCTCCAATGCATTGGACATAATCGGTTTGGATAACGGATGACCTTGAGTACAGAAACGACTGACTTTAAGTGCGAAAATAAATGTTGTCAATTATTTGAGCTACAAGTTATACTCTACACGCTTCTTATTGACGCAATTATAATTTGATCTATGTATGTGTTTCCCCACCAAGAAGTAAATAGAAAATCAGAGAAAACAAATTAGACATATACTAAAAGTCAGCTAAAAAAACTGTTCACTAACAATGTTTTGATGATTTTGTCCCTGCTTTATTGGAAATGGGGACATCTCATTTCTTTTTCGTGGCAATTATACGTTTTAGGAAATTGAAATATCAGTTTCTCTTTCTTTTCTCTGTCTCGCGACTTAATTAGTCTATGGCGAATTTCTCTATTCGCAACTCACTCCAACTTTTTCTATGAATTTTCAATCGAATCTGGGCACAATATGGCTCCAAATCACCACCAATCAAAGGTGATTTGAGATCATGTAAGATTAGTCCTTAATTTTTGGATTTTTGTTTTTATTTGATTCCTCTTAATGCATGTTTAAGATTCATGTTCGTGATGGTGATTTGAGGCAGAGTTCATTGTCACTATTTGGATGGAATTCCAATTCAAAAATTATGATGGATCATTTCTTAGATGAACCATTTATACTTGGAAAATATTCATTAGATGATTGAACTTTGGATGATCAACTTGCATGTTGATTGTCCATTTTTAGGTAAGCAAACATAACCATTATCCAAACACACACCACCCCACCCCCCAAACACACATCATCACATAGAAAAAATAGAAACATGACATGAGATAGCATTAAATTATAAATACATTGGTCATATGACGCATTGGTGTGACATTTTAGCAGATAAAGTTTAGAGATGGAGAGAGAAACAAACAAACAAACAACTAAAAGGCAAAGCTATTCCATTCTCAATCCAACCAAACCCATCTCCTTCTCCCATGGACGGTGCCACGTCTTCACCCTCACTTGCCCCTACACTTGCTGACTGGTTGCTTCAGAGCATTGTACATTCAACGAGCTGACCATTTCTTTCAAAAACACAAGGGTAAAACCGTCTGACAAGTACAATTGATTTCTGCATTAAAAAACTAAAAAGACAGTCAAGACAATAGATATCCCACGGGATACTTCTCTCTCTCTCTCTCTCTCTCTCTCTTCTCTTTCGCAGACTAACCTGCTGATATAATATTTGTCTCCAACCAGCTTTCGAATTCTCAAACCTCTCTCTCTACTTTCTCTCTCTAAAACACTATAGACTCTCTCTCTAGCCGCTTTTATCGTCCAAGAAAACAAAAGCCGATTCTATTTCTAACCTAAAGATTGGTTCTTTTTCCCCTTTTTTCTCTGTTTTTATTTTCCAGGAAAACACCACCTTTGCCGAGAAAGTTTGAATATTCTCGAGAATTCTCGCGCAAACCTGAGATTTCTTGGTGGGTTTTGGTTCTCGGGTCGAGAATTTAAAAGGGTTTTGGCTTCGGAAGGAGATGAAGATCGGGGAAGATGGTCGGAGTTCGCCGGTGTGTGGATGATCCGGTAGCGCGATGGTTTCAGACTCTGGTGATTTCTAGGTTTTGTGCTGCGTAGATTTTTGGGGCTTTGATTAGGGCTTCTGGGTAAGTAACTGTCACATATTTTGGAGCTTAAATTTTGTTCCTTTTTTTTCCAAATTTGTCTGATGGCATGATGGTTTGATCTTTTACTGAAGAATTGTAAAGAAAAGTTGGAATTTTTAATTGTTTTGAATTTGTTTTTTATTTTATTTCCGAGACTTGAATTTTGTAAGGACTGTTTCGTTGTTAAAAGTGTGAGTTGATGATTACATGGGCCCATATTCTTGGGGAATTCAAGTAATGTAATGATGTCTCATGATTGTGTGAATGCTTATAAATTTAGTTGTGAATCTTTAAACTAGTTGCGGCGAAGCATCGTTGCTGAGGCCTTTTATACTGTATTACGGAGCTTGAACTTTCCGGTGTAAAATTTCAAATTGGAACTAGTTAATGAAAATTGATTCATGGTGTGAGAATTGAATTGAAATCGCCCCATTCAGTTACCTGTAATCGTGTGTCAATCCAATGCCGTTAATGAAACGACAAAGTTGGTGTGTCCATGTGAAATTTGTGGCCTTTTCTGAAATTAAGGACGTGTTTTGGCCATAGTGTGGACCGTCTTATAACTTGGCGTTGGTGGATTTTTAACGTTGGCTAAATTTGCTATGCCATCATTTACTTTTTGCAAGTCCTCTATATGTGACAGAACATTAGGTGGTGGGAATGTGCTCTTGAAACCTTAGGAGATTAATGTTGTAGGAATTTGTTAATTATTAGGTGACGAGAAGTGGTGGGACTTTTAGGTGGAACTGGGTGTATTCTGAAGAAGAGCAATCTCAGTTTGAATGGGTATGAAAGAACGAGATTCTCATCCTTTCGTTCCCCTTTCTTGCATGTGAATATGTCCTATGGAGAGGCTTTTGTTGGATTGACTCATATTTCTTACGGTTGTCATGATGAAGGCCGTGTGTTAAACAGATATGTTGCAACTTTCCTGTTGTCTCCTGAAGCATTACTTCGCTGCATGAGGAAAAGGCCTCAAAATTGATAAAATTAAAAATTTCAATGCTGCATGGTATATTTAGTATCAAACGTTGACATCCCTTGACAATATCATGCCTTAGGTTGAAGGTTCCTTTGAACTTTTGTAGCGTGAATGTAGTTTCCAGTCGTTGGTCGTTTCTTGTATTACTATGCTTCATGAGGCTGTATTTCTTACATGTACTGTTTGTATGAAATCTAATGAGCATTTGGTTGAGTTTCATGATCAGCTGTGGAGAGATGTGGGGTTGTCAGCTTTCTGCTATCCTTCTTTCTCCTTCCTCTAGTATAATTTTTTTAAAGTATATTTATCATTTTCAGCCAGCAGTCGAAGTATAACAAAATAGTTGAGCAGTATGGTTGCAAACAGTGCTACAAGTTCTCCTAGTCCTAAAGTGGAGGTGGGAGAGATCGACACCAGGGCACCCTTCCAATCTGTTAAAGATGCCGTTTCGATGTTTGGTGAAGGTGCATTCTCTGGGGAGAAACCTGCAATTAAGAAGGCAAAAGCTCATTCATCAGAGGTATATCTAATTCCTTTACCTTTGTTTAGCAAGCACATAGATGTTGTATGTATATTGTTTGAAAAGCTTCACATAGGATACTCTTGGAGGAAGTTACCCTTCTGAATATCGATAACTCATACTATGTCCACCTATCATGAGAAGTTATTTAGTTTGGAAGCCACTCTTTGAAGGAAGTTGTATATTCATAACTATGGATGTGAATGATTTAGTGTCGCCCATATATAAATCATGCATTTTTTCTTTTCCTCCATTCAGTCTCTAGATTAGTTGAAACTCTTAATCATTTTTAGATTATAATGTTTCATTAACGCATGCTCTTCTACTATCCAAATGCGTTTTGATGTGATGTCGATAATTTTTGTTGTTTCAATGCAGAGGATACTAGTCAATGAGACACAACTTCACCTGGCCCAGAAAGAACTGAACAAGTTGAAGGAACAACTGAAGAATGCTGAAACTACTAAAGCCCAAGCACTTGTGGAGCTTGAAAAATCCAAGGCAACTCTCGAGGATTTGTCAAAAAAGGTGAAATCCCTCACTGAAAGTAAGGAATTTGCAATAAAGGCGACCGAAGCTGCAAAAAGTCAGGCAAAGCAACTTGAAGAAGCAAACTCTGGCAACCTTGGGGGAACTAATGGTGCTTGGAAAGAAGACTTGGAATCTGCAAGAACACAGTATTTGAGT